AGACAATGCAATAAAAATGAGCCTTGTTGGAAAGGGGCTGCTGACCTGTTTCTGCAACACAAGGCAGCAGAAAGTCCAAAGAGATGAGACTCTTCTGCATCCTTCCCTACCCCAACTGTATCAGCCCATTTCAGCAACTCCATTCGCCCTCCCACAAAAGCTGAAGCACCTGACAGTGAGAACAGGCTCTCACTGTGCCTAGCCTGCACAGCGGGGAATGGGGGTGCAGCTCAGTGGAAGAGTGGGCTTAAAGGCCCTGAGTTCAATCATCTACACCACACACACACACACACACACACACACACACACAAATACAAGATTAAAAGAGAAACGTTGTCAGACCTCCAGAGCTTGCTGTCGCAAGCCTGGGAGATTTCAAGGGCAACAAACACCCCACTGAAAACCCCAGTTTGCTGCCCATGTCCATCTCAACAATGACACTACCTGTCTCCCATTGCACCATAATAGAGCTGAACCCCAGCTCACCCCGAAGTCCCCCTGAGCTGAGCCATTCACTCTCTTCCCAGGTATCTAATCCTTGTCTCAGAGCCTCCCTCTCCTTTGCCATCAACTTGCACTGCTGCCCAAGGACAAGCATCAAGTCCTCAACCCTCTGGCTTCATTTGTTCATATGGCTTCCAGAAACAGCAAGGCAGGGTAGAAAGTTATCCATGATGTAAGGTTCACACACTGGGTTGTCCTCACACGCTCAGGCATCCTACAATTTCTGCCCCAACTTTCAGCTCAGAGCCTGTCAATGGCAGCCCCCCTGCACTCCCTGATCTTATGGATCCGACCAAGGTGCCTCCTCAAACAGACCTTAGCCCATCCCTCCGGGTGTAGGCTGGGGGAGAATAGCAGGTAACAAAGGGGTGAAGTGCAGAGGGAAAGGGTCCAGGAGCGGAGGGCAGCTTAAGCCAAGTGGGAAGAAGGACGGGCGGCGGTGTCGGTGTGGTGCACAGGGCTCTCCCTCTACACTAACGCTTCCTGCACCCTCTGCGCCGGCGGAGGCGGGCAGAGCGGAGCAGGGAGGGGCTCCTCTGAGCGCAACCTGAGCACACTCCCTCGGCCGCCCAGCACCAGGCACCGGGGGGGTAGGCGGTCACTGGTGCCACCAGACCGCGGACCGAGGCGGTGACTGCCTCTGCCTGGTTCCTCACTGCGCTCCAAAGACTCCCACAGAGCGTGGGACAGAGCGACTGCCCGGAGACGTGCGACGAGGGAGGACGTCCTCCTCGGCCGCGCTTCCTTGCAGAGCACCGGCGGAAGCCGAGGCCCGCCCTCCCGCTCCACCGCGCCGGGGCGCACTCCGGGAGCGGACGCCGGGACCGTGGGCGCACTGCGCGCCAGCGACCCAAGGCCGGTGCCGGGCCGGCCCACCAGCCGCGCCGCCGGAAGCTGGAGTCCACGGGCCGGAAGCTGCAGCCGCGGGCCCGCCGCCGGCGCGCGCCCGCCCCGCCCCCGCCCCGCGCGCCCCACGGCTGCAGGGGCTCCGCGCGGGGCCCGGGGAGACCGCCGCGTCTCCGGGGGCCCTCCGCGCACTGGCCGGGCAGAAGACCCGCTCCCAACAGTCGAGGGCCGCCCGCGGCCGTGGGGGGCTCACTTACGAGAGCTATGGTCGCCGTCGCCATCTTGCGTCCGTCGCGGCCGCCGCGCGCGCCACACGCTCCCGCTTCTTCCGCAGTCTCGCGCGATCTGGGCGCCGGCATAGAAACTCTCGCGATAACGACCTTGTGCCTGCGACGTGGAGGGAGGAACGCGCTTCCGGGAGGCGAGGAACAGTGAACGCCTCGAGACGGGCGGGGCTCACTGGAGGAGCGGGCGGGGAGAGGCGGTCCGCTGCGCGCAGGCTTGGCCCAGCTCCGCCACTCACCCTCTGCCTGCTGCAAACTGCACCAGACGTCCGCTTACTCTCCGTGAGGTGGCGGGGAAAAGAGCGGTCCGTCCACCCCCGGGCCGAGGGAGTCTGCGTGGACAGCTGAGACCGCACTGGTTTTGAGAAGCATCGTTTTGCATTGTAACATCTCCGAAGTCAGGAGACTCCGTTTAATTGTCAGCCTGTTTTCCTTACTAGTGATTTGAATGGGTGCTTTGCTTCCTAGATGGAATGACATGCAGTCGGTGGCCCTGCATTCCAGAAGATGGCTCAGGAGCCTATCCTGTAGGAACAGTATGCAAGGAGGTTCCAGTAAGCCCTGAGCTACGTTTAAAGGTGCCCACGTGTCCATCTGTACTGTGTGAAGAGCTCGCCTGACATTTGCCATAGGCTGTGCTCAGTCCCAAAACCTCAACTCAGTTATATACCTGGAAGAAACCACTTCTGTAAATTCAGGCATCTTCAGCTATCTAAGGCAACAAAGTGTCTTCCCTGGCTAAGGTCTCTTACCAACCTTGGAAAATTTTAGAATTGAATATAGACACCTATAGTAAAATATGGCAGAATAATTTCCTCCCCTCCCTCCTGAAACCCCTCTAAAATGACAGAAAAGTAGCGTTAAAAAGGCAAATAACACGAGGGTAAGGGTGTGGGACGCCGAGCTGGGGAAGGGTGGAAGCAGAGCTACTTTAGCAGACTGGATTGTGGATGTCAGTATCTGAGAAGAATCCAGGCCTCTGTCCCTACCTCCAGGGCTTACAGGTACTTTGGGGCTCCAGGAGAGGGGCACTGAGGCCTGGCCCTGTTCTGAAAGTGGGGCAGTGAGACTCCTGCCCTTTCCCCTACCTCCTTTACCCTCCTTTTCAAAGCTTGGCCTCCCCACATGTGGCACCAGCCTCCACAGACTCTTCTTTCTGCAGCAGCTCAAAAGAAAAGATTAGCAGCTGGGGTGTCTAGTAGAATGCCAGCCAGACGCCTGGCCTCCAAGTTCACCAGATAACAAGCCCCAGGCACGAAGGATATCTTACTCTTAAATGCAACTGGCCAGTCCAGAGTCACAGCATTTGAGGATGAGGAGAGGAGCAGAGGAAGAAAGCGAAGCTAAGACATCCTCAGAGATGTCACATCCAAAAACCAAGAACCCATAATCTTCCATGCATCCTCTCCCAGGTTTTCTGTGGAGAAAGATTAATCAAACGAGAGAGAGAGAGAGAGAGAGAGAGAAAGAGAGATTCCAAATGAAAAAATGTGAGAGGGGCCTGGTGGCACACACCTATAATCCCAGCAGCTTGGGAGGCTGAGGCAAGAGGATTGCGAGTTCAAAGACAGCTTCAGCAACAACGAGGTGCTTAGACCTTGTCTCTAAATAAAATTTAAAAGGGGGGGGGGGTGCTAAGGATTTGGCTTAATAGTTGAGTGCCCATGAGTTCAATCCTTGGTACATGCCCCCCCGAAAAAAGATAAATGTGAAAAGGACATGAGCAGTTCTATAGGATTGAAAGATAAAGTTGAAATCTTCCAGAATGCATAACAACAAAGCCAGATAGCTAGAAAATGTCAAGTATCATAATCAGATCAGTCAGTACTCTCCAGGCACAGAAACCTGGGGCTGGATCTCACCACTACCACCAGGGGAGCCCCAAGCACTACTGTCTGGGGGCAGCTTTCAGGGACAGATGCTTGGTTCCAGACACTGTTCTGGCTTCTCACACAGGAGCTCATGCCAACCTTACAGTGACCCTTTGCAGAGGGTCTCCCTCCACTGCTCCAGATGAGGAAGTACAGGCACAACTGAGCTCATGCTGCAGGGAGCAGCAGATCTGCTCAGAGCCTGGGCACCTAGACACATGATTGCATCTCTCAAAAGATGTGTCCGACATCTCAATAAATTGTCCAGAATATAAGGAAAGGGGAAAATAAAGAAAGAAGTAATTCAAGAAAATTTTCATCTCTGGACAATGGATGAAACAGTTACTGGGGCAAAGAAAAGATTGAGAGAAAATGAGAGAGAAGAGCTTGTAGGCAAAGGGCCAGCATTCACAGAGGCATGGAGAATTCTTGGAACTAGAAGAAAATGACATGACACCTTCAAAATCTTAGGACAGGTGACTTTCAACCAAATCAAACTTCTTGTATCCAGATACACTTAAAAACGTGTGAGGTCTGAATAAGGACAAACAGAGAAAGAACCCATAATCTTCCATGCATCCTCTCCCAGGCAACTTGAAAGATGTTGCTTCTCAGGGCAGCAAAGGAAGAGGAAAGCATGGGATGCAGTCACAGAGTAAGGGCTCCAGGATCCTGGTGAAGGGTGACCCAGGCTAACAGTAGGGCCAGAATACCAGAACAAGTTGGGGACTCCAGGAAGAAGAAACTAGTCAGTTATGCCTTGATTGTGGAGTATTGAGAGGAGAGTCACACTTACACGGGGAAATCTAAAAATGAATTAATGGCATACATATCAGAAAACTAAGCAAAAAAAAAAAAAAGACAATTATTAACTCCAGGGAAAACAGAAAAGGTTGTACAAGAAAGAAAATATAACCTAGACTAGGATACCTTGTTCTTTGTGGAGACTTTTGGTAATGAAGCTTACTCACACCCAGAGAACTATAATGCCCATCACACTGGGGTGATGTTTCAGAGGCAGAGGACTCCTTCCTCCAGAGGATGCCACCTGGAGACACCTCATGTAGAACAACCAATACATAGGACTAAAGTGTGCTTGAGGGTGGAAAAATGTGGGTCCTGAATGTCTGCAGAAACAGCTAAGAGTGGTGAACGGGGGGAAAGTCAGGGTAGGAGACTGCATTTATTATTGGCCTCACACATACCATTCCATTTTAAAAATAATATGCATATAATTCTGAAAAGATAGAACTTAACATTAAAAACTCAGGTAGGCATGACTAAATGCAGCAACTTTAGTATCGGTGTTTTTAAGTTCAGGTCAGTTGTGTGATTGCCACTCAAACTGTTGAAGACTATGCACAATCATTGTAGCAACAGGATTCTCCCCTAGAATGCGCAGGTTATTTGCAATCTGCAATTTTAGGATGAAAGGTATGAGAATCTGAGAATATTTGTAAAGAGTACTAGAATGTTTAAAATAACTTGAGATTCATTATAGTTGTTCATTTAATTTATTTGATATGCCTTGGCAAATCTGGTTTGGTTTTGGGCTTTTGGTTAAGGGGGTATGGTAGGGAGAATGCCCCCTGCCAAAGATATCCATTCCCAAATCAGTGGAGCTGTGAATGCCACTTAATATGGCAAAATATATGCCTGCAGATGTGATTAATCTTAGAGACCCTGAGAGGGGCAATTTTCCTGGATTATCTGGGGGGAGTCCACCCAATTGCAGGCAGCAGTCCTTATGGAGAACCTTCCTGGCTTTAGACAACCAGATATCTGGCTCACGCTAAAATTCAACCTACTGCTGCTGCCTTTGAGTGGAGGAAGGAGAGCCAAGGAATGCAGGCTGCTTCTGGTAATGGAGAGTGGTCCCCAGTTGACTGCCAGCAGGAAAACAGGACCCACCACTGTGTAGAAGTGAATTCTGCCAACACCTGAATGAGCAGGAAGCAGGTGCTCCCCTAGGATCTTCACCACCTGCCAACCTAGGAAAACACCACCTGCCAACACCTTGATTTTAGTCTAGTGAGACTCGTATCAGACTCTGACCTACATAATTATAATAAACTTGTGTTGTTTTGAGCCACTAAGGTTGTGATAAATGTTACAGCAGCAATATAGAACTAATACAGTTAGTGAGCCTTCCTGGTTTGACATTTGAAATGCTTAAACAGAAACCTGAATACATTAAATTTATACATACAATTTAAAATGTTTGAGATCATTTAGCTGAATTTGAAATTGGAGGAGAGGCAGTTCAAGAAAGGGCGCTGGAGGTGGAGGCAGAATCCATGGAAGTAATGAAACCTCTAAAATCCAGACAGGAGTTGGGTGGGAGAGAGAGACAGAGAAACAGAAGCCCACATCTCCAGGCCCAGGATACAGCTGCTCCAGGGAGGACCTCTGACCTCTCCATGCCAGGTAATACAGGAGAGAAATAGCCCATTAGAGGGGCTGGGGTATTGGTGATGGTGCCAGAGCCCCAGATCCTGGTCTCAGAGCAAGGTCAGAGAGGGGGACTTCAGGGCTGTTCTGCATGGGACCAAGGGGCTTTGCTGACCATGGTCTCAATTCCAGGCTCTTTACCCTCTTTCCAGCCGGGTCTGGCCCTGCTTGATGCCCAGCACTGGTTATGACAGCTGCAGGGGCCCCATCACATTATGAGGTCCAGGCACCCTGCCTGGGTCTGTGGTGCCAACTTAGGATGGCTGCTCAACCCAGAGTGATGGAGTGATTCCCCTGGTGGAGGTCTGTCCATGGAAGATCCCACCCTGTACCCCCACGCTGGCTGCCTCAGCCACTGAACCACCACCTCAGGGTCCCATGCTGCTGAAGGAGGCCAGGGATCCTCACGAGCAGGGCAGGTGCTCATCAGCTCCCAGGCTAGCAGGCAAAAGGCAACTCCAAGAAGTGCTGGACTCTTCCCCACAGGGACAGCCCTGAGCCAGCAGAGCCAGGGCAGGGCTTCCAGGGCTGGAAGGATCAGGCCTGGGCCCCACGGTACTTGAGGAAGGTGGTCTCCAGGAAGATGGCCAGCTTCAACCGGTCATCCTAAAGAGGGGAGGGAGGCATGGGGGACCCGCGGCAGAGCAGCCCTGCACCCTCCCAGCAAGCCACACCACGCCCCACCCTGCCAACCTCGCGCAGGAAGCCGTAGTGCACCAGCTCAGCCGCGAGGTCCTGGGCGCTGTCCGCTGCAACAAGGGCACATGGGAACTCATAAGGCTGTGGCACCAACCACTGCCCACCGCCCGCCTTCAGGCCTGCAGCCTGGGGTTCCCAGTCGCCTACTTGGAAGCAGGTCGTAGGTCAGCTGCCTGTGCAGTCTGTCCTCCAGCACCAGAAGCAATGTGAGCTGGGGCAGGAGGGTGTGGTCGGTGCCAAGTCAAAGTTGGCAGGCCCTTCCTTTCCCAGCCCAGCCCAGGGCCCTGCTCACATGCCAGCGTGCCTTGTCCTCACTCCTTTCCAGGTTGCACTGCATATGGATCACCTGGGGACCAGGAGGCCAGGGTTACAAGGGCTGGAACTCAGCCAAGAGGCCCAGAAAGGACAACTGGGATTAAAATGGTAAAAATCTCCAAGGGGAATCTAGAAAGCAATTTCAGTGCTGGTTACTTGGCTGTTAAGGCAAACTTCCAGTAGGCACTGGGGCTGGGTACTGAAGGGTGAATAGGAGTTTTCAGAGTAGAGAAATTGCTTTGAAAAGGAGGGAACTCTGGAAGCAGGGGCGAGAGAGGTCAGTCTGGATGTGACAGCTCCCAAGTGCAGGGAACCAGCAAGAATAGGCCTGAAGAGCCTGGGGCTTGGACTGCGACTTGAACTCTCTGGGCAGCCAGGAGCCAGGCAGCTTTGACTGTTAGGTCTTGAACTCAGGCTGCACTAGAAGGAAGGAAGCCAGGGGGAAGGAGGCCAGGCAGGGATTGGTTGATTATCAGTTGAGGAATGGTGGTAGCCAGGATCAGAGAAGTGGCCATAGGACACATCTAAGGCCAGAGTCAGCTCCGTTAAGAGCTCATGCAGGGTTGCAGGCCTGAAGGGGTCAGAGCACTGAAAGAACAAGGAAACCAGAGAGACATTCCCTAGGTAGGTACTAACTGTTTTATAACAGTAATAAGGCCTAGAGAGGCTGAGGCTGCCCAAGGCAGTGGAGTGAGCATTTGCATCCAGGTCTGCCTGACTCCAGGCCCCTGAGGACCTGGGTACAGGCATGAACAAGAGAGGGAGGGGCTGAGGCTGACCAGGAGAGGACCCTGGCCAGGAGGCAGCCCTGCAGGAAGGGAGGTTTGGGGAAACATGGTGCCTGGGGGCCTGAGGGGGAAGTCCCAGGATGTAAGTGTCTGGGAGTAAGCAAACCAGGGGTTGTGGTCAGAGCTGGGGGTGGTGTGTGAGACTCCTAGAGGAAAGCTGTTCAGTGCACTGAGGGATGGAGGCAGGCAGCAGGGTGGGAGAGAGTCTACAGGAATGAAGAACCTCTGGGAAAGACAGGTATCCCAGCTTGTCCTACAGACTCCTAGCCCCCAAAAGGGGCCAGCCTAGATCTGGCCTCCCAGCCTGGAGGACAGCTGGGTTGCAGTGCAAGCAGACCCCAAGAGAAGGGTGCCTGTTGTCAGATCAGCTCACACAGCAGGAGTAGAAACCTGCCTTCCTGGTCTCGGAGTCAAAGGGCTCTGGAGTCGGGGTCTTGACCTTCTGGGCCTCCTCCAGGGGTGGAGCCAATACACGGGGCAGCCCCAGGGGCCGAGCAGCAGCAAAATTCATCAGTGGGTAGATCCCATTCCTGGGGACACACCAGGATATGGCTGGGGGCTCAGGCCCGGAAGAGCCTGTTCCCAGTCTCACAGCAGCTCTCACCTGACATCCTCCAGGAATTTGTCCAGCTCCAAGAAGGAGACCTCTGAGTACCTGGCACAGGGCAGGAGGCGCATGAGTGGTAGCTGGCCAGGGGCAGGCAGGGAGCGAGAGGGGAGGCTGTTGGGCAACCGCTGCTCACCGCCATTGCATTGGGGGCCGCTGGGGCCTGGGGACCTCTGCCAAGACAGCCTGCAGGTCCATGGCCTTGGTCTTCTCTTCCACCACATTCTCAGGCATGAGGTCTGTGGGCCGCAGCAGTACTCAGGGTGGTGGGCCTGAGTCACAGGCCCTGCAAGGCCTCGTCTGTATTCCAACCCTAGGTCCCTGGCCCAGCCCGCTGCCTGGTTCTTACACTGGTGCTGGATAAAGCAGTGAGCTGCCAGTAGCTTCAGCGAGTGTACCTCGAAGAGCACTCGGTGGAAGAGGAGGTTGTGAGCAGAAGGCCGTCGGGCAGGGTCCCGGGCCAGGCAGGAGAGGATGAACTCCTGGGGTGGGGAGGAGAGGTGGGTGGGGCAGGCTCTCTGCTCTAACCCCACAGTGTGAAGACAGCAGGTACCCTGGAGCCCCCAGGACCCAGGGGCCCAATCCCCATGTCCTCCCCACTCAGGGATGCTGCAGGAACATGCACAGGAGACAGCATCTCATGAGAACATCAGCTCTATTTTCCCTGACTTTCATAGGAATTGCGGGGAATGAGTGCTATGACCCCCAATTCACAGATGCAGGTTCTCCTACCCACAGTCTAACCCTTTTGATCACCCCAACTTAGACCCAGCTCTGGAGATGACCTTTGGTTCGTCCCTACCCTGCAGACATTGGTGCCCTCCTTGGCCTCTCATGCCCAGTCAGGTCCCGTTCTCCCATCTCCCGTCCACAGAAGCCATGCAAGCCACACAGCATTTCTGGTCCAAAGCCACTGGATTTGGACCAGAAATGCTGTGTGGCTTCCACCCTCTATCTCCCTTGCCTGCCCTGTGCCCACCACAGCCCTCCACACAAGCTGGACCTGGATCTTAAAGGCAGGGACCTGGAGTCAGGCAGATCTGGGTGCAGATGCTCACTCCACTGCCTTGGGCAGCCTCAGCCTCTCTAGGCCTTGTGACTGTTATAAAACAGTACCTACCTAGGGAATGTCTCTCTGGTTTCCTTGTTCTTTTAATACTCTGATCCATTCCGGCCTGCAACCCTGCATGAGCTCTTAGTGGAGTCTTTCTTGACAGTGGGCTGGAGGTTGGCACACCCTTCCCCTGCATTAACCTGGCCATACCTCTGGCCTGCCTAGGTACCTCAATGGCCCTACACTGGGCACATCAATTCAGGCTGGGGGTAGGGGTAGTGGCAAGCTGCTTACTCGCATGTTGGGGTCATTCAGTGAGTGCCTGGCTCGAACAATGGCCTCCTCTGTGACTCTGGTATCCCCATTAGCCTGGATCTCCAGCACAGCCATCTGAGGTTGCAGGGCCAACATGGGGAAGGGACAGCACCGGTGAGATGGGGTGGAGGCCAGCTGGGAATGGGCTAGGAGGAAAGGTGCCAGTACCTCCAGTGCACACATCCCAAAAGAGAAGATGTCCACAGCGGTCCCATCTGCAACTTCTGAAAAGGAAGAGGCAGGTGGGTAGGACTGATGTGCAGGCTGGGTAGGTGCCACAGGTCCCTCCAAGACTCACCGCCATACTCTGGTGGGAAGAAGTGCAAGTTCCGAAGTTCCTCTCGCTCAGCAAGGATGGGGCTCCTTAGATCATCCGGGAGCGCTAAAGAAGGGGCAGAGGCGCTGAGCAGACCGGCCTGGCCAGAGCTCCCATCCCCACCCCTATCCCGCACGAACCATTGGAGAAGATGCGGTACCACACTGTGAAGGAGACCACGGGGAGAAAGAGCGGGTGTCAGCGGCCTGGGGCGTGGGGTGTCCTCTGATCTCGACTTGCAACAGGTTCCCCCAGCCCTGCCCCCCTGCCCAGCCCCTCCCCGCCAGCACCAGAGCCGATCTTGATGAGGCCGTTATGCTGAATGAAGATGGTGTCGCTGGTCAGGTTCCCGTGGATGATGGGGGGGCTGCAGGCGTGCAGAAAACTGCAGGCGTTGGGGGAGAGCAGGCGGAGCCGGGTCACAGGGCGCCGGAGAGGTCGGCGCAGCAGGGCAAGCAGGCGGACAAGCCTAGGTCCTCACCTGAGCGCGGACAGGATCTGCGTGCACCATCTCTTCCAGGCCTGGCAGCGGACGCAGGACTCCCGTCGGGTGGGCGCAGGAAAAGTGGCAGGGCCTGCGAAGCCCACCCGCCGCCCCGCCCCTTTCCGGGGCTGACCGGTGTCCAGTCCCATCCCTTTCCCAGAGGCCACCCTCCCTTCCCTGTCCCCAGCCTACTCCCCCTACCCGGGCATTCATGGCCTTGTGGTTTTTCTTGGTCTTTTTGAGGAATTGCTTGAGGCTGCCTGATGACACGTACTCCGTGATGAAAATGACCTGTGGGGCGGGCGGGCTCACGGCTCCGCCACTGCGGGTGGGTCCCCGCAGTTGCTCCACCCAGACCGAGGCCACGCCCCGCCCCCACTCCGCCCAGTAGCTCACCCTTGCACGGGCCTCAGAGGCATCCAGCCAGTACTTGTGCAGCTTGACGATGTTGGGGTGGTCCACCAGCGCCAGCTGCTCAAACATGGCCTGGATCTTCTCCTGGGAGGAGGGGGGCAGTCATGGGCCATCACGGGACAGGACTGGGGACGAGGGCGATGGGATTCACCTCATGGGCTGCGAAAGCCTTCCTGTCGCCAAAGTGGAGCTCGTTCCACACCACTTCTACCCCCTCCTCCGTGTCCATGGCCAGGAATGTGCTCTGGATCCCGGGCATATTCCCCTGGTTCACCTGGGGACGGGGTACAAATGCTCCCGTTTGTGTTAGGGCGAGGTTGGGGACTTGGTCCCTCTCACACCCTTCTCTTGGCCAGAGTGCGCTTCGGGCCGGATCCGCTCTATGGGAAAGCTGAGGGCCAGGACCCGGGTTGGCCCGCAGCAGTCCAGGGGTGATATCCAGGGGCTGGGCAGAGGTGGATAGAAGCGGCTTCAGGTTCTTGAGCGTGAACCCCTAGGGTCTAGCGGTGAATCCCAGAGTCGTGGGGAGGGACCAGGAAGTCTCCTGAAGGAGACTGGTCCTCAGGGAATGGAGGTTCCTCACCAGGGCGTGGGTCCCAGGCAAGAGGGCCAAGGGCCACCCAGGACGTGGGTTGTGGAGAGGCCGCCGCGCGGCCACAGGGCCCCCACGGCCCCGCGTGGCCTCGCGTCCCCGGGGCTCCGGGAGAGCGGCGTCACCCCGCCGGTGCCCACCTGCTCGCGCCGCTTCTGCCAGCGTCCGCATGGGCTCTCCTCCAGGATGTCGCTCTCGTCCTCACTCTCGTCCTCCCGCTCCCGCTCCCGGCTCCGCCTGGGCGCCGGCTCCGGGGCCGCCATGGCTCAGCGGGCCAGGCCACCGCCCTTCGCGCGATCCACCGCCCTGCCGCCGCCCGCCCTGCCCCGCGCCTGGCCGGCCACCCGAGCCCAGTGGAGCCGCCGCCGCCGCCGCCGCCTCGAGCCCCGACCCGGCTCCGGGAATTGGGAGGCGCGGGCGCGCGACGGACGGGCGGCGGGCCCGGGGGTGGAGCCGGCCCGCCCCTCCGGAGCCGCCTCTGCGGGCCGGAGCCCGAGTGGAGCTCCCGGGCGAGCGGCCGAGCCCCACCCGCCCTTCGCGGCCTCGCCAGGCCCCGCCCTGCCGGGTCTCAGGTCTCACCCGCAGAGCCCCGCCCCCCGGAGGCTCCGCCCACGCCGGCCGAGGCCCCGCCCCGCAGAGCGGCGCCGTGCTGGGGACTCTGCTGGGCACACGCAGGCCGCTGCCAGCGAGTCCCACACGTTTGGGCATCCCTGCGCGCATGGAGACCTCTGTGGTCCAGACCAGGCGCTCCGAGATCCGCCCCTGCACGCATTATGCCTCAGCTCTTCCTCCTGCACAGCATCCGCACCCGGCTCCTGCCACGCACATCCCCCAACTACGCCTGTGATGGGCCGAACATTGTCAGCTTTGCTCCCGGTTGCCCCCAGGGTCTGCGGGGAAGCCCGGGTCCAGGACTTTTGGGAGCCTCCTCCGGCTCCAGGAAGCCCCAGACTCAGAAGTGAGGTCGGCTCACCCCGCCAGTACTAAAGGGAACCCGGAGGAAGGCCACTGAAGGTGGCTGATAATACACCAGCACACCAACAGGTTGGAATTTAACTCATGACTACAAATCTCTCACCGGCCCCAAATTTCCTGCTCCCCTTTCAGTGCACAAGCCTACCTTCCAGGATGCCAGTTTTCTCTTTTCTCCAAACATGCCCCTCCTCTTTCCACTGTAAGCTCGTCTGCAACAGTGGAGCCAGGAGGAGAACACCCCCTTAAGTGTGTCCCCTCTCCAGGAGGAGACCCTCACCACACCCTGTGGAATTCTCATCTGAAATCTCCCTGCACCGCAACACCCTGCTGCCTCCCCACAGATCCTCCCTCTCACACCTGCAGGAACCTAGTTCTTCTTCTTCTTCTTCTCTTTCTGGAAACTGTGCTTGCCCACTTTCATATTTAAACCCCCAGCAAACTCTGCTGACCAGCACCGCTCCCTCTGCGCCCCTCCCACCCAGCACTAGAGTTCTGATGAGAACCCTATGGCCTGCCCTGATCATCCACCCTAACCCTAACTGTCAGCAGGCTGGAGAGTCAAACCCTGCACCTCCCAAAGAAACTGGAGCAGCACAGGAGATGGCCTCCAGGCCCTGGGAGTGTCCTGCACAATGTGATTGATGGCAGGTCCTTGAGCCACAGTGTTAGCCTGGCAGTGTTAGACTGAAGCCAGCCCCTCAGAAGTGCAAGTTCCGAAGTAGTCAGCAGTGCCTAAGTGATGGAACCCAGCGAGATCCTAGACGAGGCTGGTGGCACTCATCTGTGCCATCACACATCTCCACTGGAGGAGGTGCCTATTGTCCAATGACCACTAGGAAAGGACAACTGGACACACACCTGTCCTCCCCTGAGCTCTGTCCCACCAGTCCTTTGCCACTGTGGTTTTCATAGGTAGACTTTGCTGTAATACACTGCATCTGTGATTATAAAAACTTTCAAACTCCTGGGAGTCCTTCTAGTGAATTACTGGACCATGGAGGGTGGTGCTGGGGCCATCCCAGTGGTCCATTTCTTACATGCTATGAGGCCCAAGTCCTAACCATGAACGCCCCCACAGTTGACCCTGATCCCTGGTCTCATTTCTCCGGCCCTCTCTGGCTGAGCCCACTCCAGGCACCCTGGCCCCACACAGGTTATTGACACAACAGGCCAGTCTGTCCAGGGTTGTTGCCCTGGTTATGCCCTCTGCCTGAAATCCTCCTCCCAGAGATCCTCCAAGTCCACTTCTTCAGGTCTTGACTCAAATGCCACCTTTCAGACAGGCCTATGCTGATCACCCAGCCCAGCATCACATCCCCACCCTGTACCTGCTTTGCTGGGCCCTTCCCATGATGCTCAGCTTGGAGTGCCTGTGTTTTGTCACCTCTGCTTCATTCTCTGGGTCCCTGCTGGGACACAGTCTCCAGGAGGGCAGGGTGTCTATTCTTTCTGTTGTGCTAAGGATATTGCTTTAGTGCACAGTGGGCTCTGGCAAGTGGGTCCCCTAGATGTGTGGGTGGGCAGGGGTGCAGGGTTAGGTTGGTGGTCCAAGGGAGCTCCCTAGGGGGCAACAGTGAGCTGGATCTCAATGAATTTCCTTCCATTTCTCTGCCCCATAACCAGATGCATGTGCTCTATGTGCGTCCTCACCCTGGTACCTGGAAACAAGTCCTCCTCTGGGAGAAGGGTCTGGGTGGATGTTAGTAAGTTTAGAATCTTGAGATGAAGTCCTTCTAGACCTAGGGAGATCCTGGCTCCAGTGTGTGGCATCCTTACAAGGGAAAGGAAGGGTGGGCCCAGGCAGAGGTACCGGGGAGACGGCCAGGCAAGGAGGAGCAGAGAAAGGGGTTTGGGTCAGGCCAAGGCCAAGGATTGCCTGGATTGTCAGAGCCTCAAGTTTGGAGGGGGTCTGGAGCCACCCCACCCTCAGAGCAGGGACCAGCCCTGCTGCCACCTGGGTTGTGGTATCCCCTCCAGAGCTGTGAGAAAAGAAGTCTGCATTGTTTCAAGCTGCCATTTGTAATGCTTTGCTATGACAGCCCTAGATGATAAAGCTCCAATTGTGCCCTCTGTGGGAAGAACAATAACACAGTACAATCTGTATGCAGGGATGAACCACACCCACGCTTCTCAACCATTTGTCCTTGTGACCCCACAGTGGTCCTGTGCCACCAGCTCATAGAGGTGTGGTGAAGTATGTCCTTGCTGACCTTCCTCAGTGCTCCAGATCTGGACCACTCTCCTGCCCCTACCTCCACTTCTATTCTCTGCTTACCTCCTCCTCTTCCTCCATCCTGCAGATCTGGTGGCCCCTTTGGGGTTTTCTTACGGTCCCCTCCTGTAGGGCATGGAAAAGACCTGCTCTCTGCACTCCTGCTTCTCTCTTTCCCTCTGCAGGTGCAAGGTTCCCTGACTCTCTGGGCTTGAGCAGGTCTCCTAGATGCCAGGAATCCCAGAGTGGGAGAAAGCAGTGGTCAGTGGATCATCAGGTGGCCCCTCCTTCTGTCTGCCCTGTGGCCTGACCTCCAGGTTTCACACCCATGCACAGTCCCTGCTTAGGAGTGCAGACTGGACTTGGATACAGGGCCATAGAACCTACCGATTTCTCACAATAATATCCCAAAGATCAGGAACATATTTTTTTAGTAACTGTTAAGGGCTGAATTCTATCCCTTGAAAATTCAAGTATTTGCTCCTTTTAAAGAAATAAAAGGAAAAATCATGCTTAAGTCAATGGCTGCAGCAACTCCTGGGCCAGGCGTGGACCAGATGCCAAGCGTGCCCTGCCTGTGTCTCAGCTCCCACCTAGCTATCAGGCATGGCTCTCGGGGCCCACAATGTCTGTTTATACCACAGGGCAGATCATGCTTCTGGAGGAGTGTAAGAAAACAAATATCTGTGAAAGGCATAATCACCCTCTGCACCAGACCCCCGACCCACTTCTCCACCTGGTGGGACTCTCTGGAAAGGCCCGTAGGAGCATGTTCTGAGACCACCTGTGGAATAAAGAAGAACAGACCCCACAGGATCTGAGAGCAGGGTATTGGGTGAGGACAGCTGTGAGCCAGAGCCTGAGAGGTTGTTCTGTGTCCCCTGCAAGTGGGCCCCTGATGCCCGGGTGGTCTCCCTGCCCCGCCATATCTCCATCAGCCCCCTTCTTCACTCTCTTCTTTCTGTACCTTGTGATAATTGTGGCACATAGGAAAAGAAAGACTTCTGTGACTTTCTGTAGCTTTACCCGCAGGCCTCCCTATAGACTAGTGGGGACAGAAGCCAGCTGTGGCCCAGGTCCTCCCAGGCCCCTGTAGGTGATGCTTGCTGTCTCCAGGTTGGGGTCAGGCCTCTCAGGTGCTCTGTATTCGCAGCTTCCCTTTCCAGGATCTGGGTCTGGAGGTGTGGGGAGGGAGGCCAAGCCCTTAGGTGCCTGGGAGCCTCCTCCATCTCCCTTTCCAGCTGCGGGGGGGGGGGGGGGGGGGAGCCCCACCCTCTGTCCGCCCACCTCTTGCTCCTCCAGGGCAACCTGACTTCTGACTGCCTTTAACACCTTCTCCTGGCCCCTGGGAGTCTGTGGTTTCACTGTGACATGGCTAGGGATTGGGGACTCGAACGTGGACATTAATGTCTTTGATCAGGTCTGGCAAAATTCCATGCCACCGTCCTTCCCAGTGACTTCTCTGTGCACTTCCTAGCTCCCTTCCTTCAAGGAGTCTGTCTTGCTGATTGCTTGCCTCTGGCCTTCCTCCCGCCCTGTCTCCTGGGACCCTGCTCTCCAGGGCACCACCTGCACTGCCTGGGTTTACCCACTGCTCCAGTGGCTTTTCTGACGTGCTGGTTAGACCTGCCTACTGAGTTCCTAAGCCTGGCTGTGCTGTCTGCAGGTCTAGGATCTCTCCTAGTGTGGGTTTCAGCTCCTTGGCCACATTTCAGAACCTACTTGGCCTGGTGGCCACAGCAATCAGGGTGGCTGTGGGTCTGCCTTATAGCTTGCTAAATCGATTTTGGAAGTTTTTTCTGTGGAGCTGTCTCTCGGTGTGCCCTGGTTTCTCTGATTATGTGCAGGGTAGTACTTAATTTTGTCTGTTTCTTTGTTTTGAGGTGGGGGATCTCACAGTGCTCCCTAGGCTGGCTTTGAACTTGGGGGCTCAAGCACCTCCCATCTCAGCCTCCTCACTAGCTAGGTACTACCACTGCGCCAGCTGGCTCTACTTTGTGAAGTATTCATAGGAATGAACTGTAGGTGCCACATGGGGCATCTTCTTTCAGAGTATCTTGTCCACTTGTGACGTGGTCAGTGTCACCTGGTGAAGACTTTAGGCCACACAGACCACCCGAGCAGGTGCATGTCTGGGTTGCTTTACTCCCTGGATGAAGCCCTTGGGATCTTTTTTAAAGTGGGAGACTCTCTGGTGTTTCAGGCCTGGGGGTCCCAGGTGGTCCGACATCCCTGAAGTCCTTGCTTCCTCATGGTCCAGAGTGAAGCACTGTGTCCGCTGGCCATTGTGGCC